CAAAACTTTTCAGAGAATACTGTTTCAGAGAATTACAGCAATCAATCGCAAATTCACCGAACACTCGTCATTCAGATACTGTTCGAGTTCATCTTATATATTGTTGCAGCTACCAAAGATTATATTACACTCAAAGAATCAACAACCACACAGATGTCAACATTTTCAAAAAGCTGACAATAATGTCAAATTCTAACAATCAAAAGAAATATTCAGATGTTCTTATAAGTGCTGATGTTTGATTCGATCGACTATAAAGTCAAGATATATGTATAGAATGAGTAATGTTTTACTATTACTGAAACTGATCGAATGAATGACTGATTTTGTGAATGATGATGGTGTTTGCTTAAGAGTGAGTGAGTAAAAGTTACCAGATAAACAAATTGTGATCGTTTTTCACAACTGTTTTCATTTTCTATAAATGTTCTTATTGTTCATAAATTTTCTCAAATAAGCGTTTTCATCGGACTTTTGATAGTGCAATTAGCAAGAAGACGGCAAATGATAAACGAAAATGAAGTCATCAATTTTTGATAACACTTTCATGAAGAGCAAATTATCGGTGATGTCGGTAATGAATGCGGGAGGAAATCGATGAAAGTTTTGTGCATTAAGTGCTAATGATTTCATTTCAGATGCTGAGAACCAAAAGAAACAAAAATATCATCGATCCATTACGACTCATGAATGGAGGCTGGTTATAGAAAAGTGCAGCAGTTGAAAGAACAGAAAAAAAACCGAGGCGATTACACAAAAGGAACGAAAATTGAATTCATCAAACAATTCGCACAATTAACTTGCTGTCAATGTCAAACGGAACAGAAATTATTAACAAATACACACGTTTGGAGCAAAGAATAATAAAAAATAATAATAGCAATAATGATTCTAATAACAATAATAATAATAACATATGAATCATNATTACATTCGCTTGTTCTTAAATGTACATTTTCATGAATGTGTCATTATTAGATGTGTTTACACTTGGGAAGGTGTTTCACCTCTGTGTTTATTTATTTATTTATTCGATCGAATATAAACTTTTGAGTGCGAATCAAACAGGAATTCAAATGCATTGCAAAATTCTCACAGAATGTTGAAGAGAATAATCGTTAAATTCAAAAAAGAAACGAACGACATCGACATCGACCGGAAGTAGTGGGTTGCACTGATGTGGACCAGAGAGAAAGAGAGTGCGCGGTCAAAAAGATGGTGAATAAGTAAAGTTGAGCGAATGCAACAGAGTTTAACTAAAGCCATTGAATGAACATCAAATGAGAACCAGAAATGAAACATTCTCAGCAAACAATGCTTAGTTATTTATCTTATTTCGTACAAATTCCACTGAACACAAAACTGATTAATCATCGCAATAATTCTGTCAAGTTTTCGCAAGACGTTCCAATCGAATCGCTTTTGAACGAAACAATACGCTTGGCGCATGCTATGAGGGTTGAGAAGTTGAGAGGAACAGGGAGAAGACAATTTAACGTAGTGTATTGAGATTCGAAGGACAAATCAAGGAGCTTGGTGTGCGAGAATGAATGGATGAGATGAATAATGCATGACGAGATGTTGATTAGCATTGAATCACATCAAAAAAGAACTCGATAAAAAAGTTGATCATAAGAAAGTGCAAAAGAACACACGAATGGATATACGTGTAAGTGGATAATCGAATCAAATGAAACGAACCTTCCAAGAGGACTTCGTCGCGCATGACTAACGGATGCATCCTGACGTGCTAGCTGATAACGTTCATCTGAAGTCGAACGACATGTCGATGTTGTGATCATCGTTGTGGAACGTCGACTGTGCCACGTCGGAGCTGTGAACGACTGTAATTTTGATGAATGAATTAATTTACCCTTCAATTAATGTTAACTAGTTCCAAATTTGACCATTTGACATCATTAATTGATGAAATCAGTTGGGGAGGGGAGGCGGGGAGGGGAGGGGGTACATCGTGAGCAACACCAACAGACGACTTATGATGCGATCACAATTTCGATAAAATAAGCTTATGCCTAGAGCACTTTGTTGTTATGCTACAAAATAAGTTCACTCATTTACGTCAAATCGAGTAAATAGAGGCTTTGGAAAATCGCACGATCGTTTAAAAATGAGCACTATCGCGCGGTGATCGTACCAAGCGATTTGACCACCCTTCCCATCGAACTCCTTCAAAACGTGTTGACAGTCGGGTTGGACCAGCGCCGCATAGTGTTAAATACAGAAGTGACCAGAGACTAAGTGCACATGTGAGCTTAAGGTTGACTGAGGCCTAGCAATACTTTAGGCTTGGTTTTTCGCTTAAGGCTAAGCCTAAACCTCAGCTTGAATCAATTCGAACTTTTGAGTTTCAGATAGTTTTCCACCAGCACCTCTCAGTCCTACCAATGCAAAAATTCCGAATAGCTCTTCAATTCACATTTCCTCATCGCCTCACATCACAGTGTCGTTTTTTTTTAAATGGATCGGCAATTAGAGTGCAACAGAATACGTTTTTGCATTGTTATGCACACACGAGGTGCAGAGTGGTGGTTGGTGGTTTGGTTGCATGACAAACACCGGAACAACGATTTTTAATGCATAAATGTTATACGGCTATTATTAATTTTTATGTGCAGAGAATGCCCTGTAAATAGATATAAAAGCAAACAAACACGTAAATGAATGAATAAATAAGTAACGAAAATATGCATTAATACGTATATTTGTGTGTAAAGATGAATATTTAATGAAATATAAACATGTTATGTAAGAAAATGTTAGGAATAAGATAACTTAATGAGAGATAGAGAGAGTTAATTTACCGTGGCAGAGAAGTAATTTTTGGATGGAAGAACGAGCGCAGATGAGGATTTCGGGTCTGATGGAGGTATCGAAGCGGTGCTATTTGATGAGACGTCTCCGTCCGAGAGCTCGGTGCTCACCTCTTGAATAACTTGTTTCGAATCCACGATCGCAAATCTGCAATCTTCCTCATTCAATACCTTAGTCTAATGAAATTCACTCATTCGAAATATTCACCGTTCAGTTCATGAATCGATCACCGTTCATGAGCTTTTGCATGAGAACACAACTAATTAATGACCATAAAATTAATGAAACCTATCAGATTCAGTGGATACAGTATGCGTGTTATCTGGGCACGAGAATTAATCGCAACTTTTCGAAATAAATTATCGAATGATCAAATGAGTATGAGCACAAAGAAGAATAGAAGCAAAAGATAGCATGAGTGATACGGAATAACTGAATTTTATCAATCAAACTGCTTGTTCTGATTAATAATTGCATCAGGAAACAATACGAGGAAATATTAAAGTTGGATGCAAACTACAAAAATATTTGAAATTCTCTGACTAGATGGCTAAATGAAACTAATGTTGAATGGAGATAAACTGTTGAGTAAGTATTAGATGACAACACGATGGTGACAATAGAAACTGTTGAAATTGTTTCGTTGTTTGAATTAGGTTTGACTGAAGGCGAGTGAGCGAGCGAATGCACTGAGTGCTGCTCGAATTCGTGTTATCGTTTATCAAAGTCGTCTCGAACAATCGAACTAGCCGCAAGATATAAATCATGGGCAGTGCGATTCAAATGCATGCAGTTAGTGGAGAATGATACATTTGCTTAGAGGATGTTTGTATGCATTTGTATGCACCGCGTTCTGCACTCAACCATCAACCGCTTAAAATCGATTTAAATCCAAACTTGACGTTTGAAACTTTCAAAAACTTAGTGATTACTAATCATTCTGATAATTTTTATGTTGTCGTCAATGTGGAAGTGTACATCATGCGCCCGCCCCGTTTACTGAAATACTTCTTGATCAATCAACTTATCTTGATCAAATACAATCATAAAGATCGCATGACACTCCCTAGCCCATTCAGTAACATAAAAGATTTGGTTTTAAGACAACTGTCCCGGAATGACTGCTGCCACGACAAATTACCTGAAATTAATTGCGATAGAGAAATCCTCTTCATGACTGATCGCAGCCTTAATTGAGGTGAACCTCAGCCTAAACGTAAGCATTAACCTCAGTCCAAGCATCAAGCTCAGTCCGAGCTTGAGGTTTGACTACAGCCTAATGTTAAGCATCAACCTCAGTTCCAGCCTAAGAGGAAGCCTAAGCCTAAGAATATAGTACACCAACACTGGTAGTAAGAATGATTGCAGTAACGATAGTAATGATTGGAGGAACTCATTTTCACGAAGGTAATTATCGTGACGGCGAGTTGGCGGGGAGTCCGTTGTCCGGAAGGCAGTCATCTTGAAAGTAGCTATCCCCGGGGGACGGTTACCCCTGGGGATAGCTATCTGGGAGGCAGTTATCCTATAACGCAATTGTCCGTTGGCAGTTGTTCAGGGGTAGTTGTCTCGGGAGCAATTGATCGAATACCAAGGCATACTATCAATCACAGTAAATTCACCACAAATCAACTCGTCGGTAGCAATACTAATAGTAAATGGTAATAGTAAGAAAAAAACTAAAATGTTTGTACTGATCAGCCGCAAGATACGCGTGAAGAATTGATGGAAAATGAAAGGTTATCATTTGGACCACATAATGGATTAAATTATTTGTATATGTAACGATCAAGAGAGCATTTTTTGAATACGAAGTATAAAGATGAAACTAAGCTCAATTTAGCAGACAACTATATCAAGAGAAGTGGTGCTCTTTGATTCTCAAGTTTCATCTGCCAAACGCAAATTATGCTGATTGCGAGATTTCGGCCGAATCACCATCCTCCTTTTCCCTTCCCATTGCAACATAATTTGGTAACTAACCCCTTTAATGACATAATAGAAAACATTGCAAAGTTTTTTTTTTTGTTTCATTGAACCAATCCTTCTACGCGTCATATTCGTCCATTTGTGAATAATATGCCCTTCGTTGAGAAACGAATAAAAACAATGTTATTTCTTACCAAAATTTCAATCAAAAGTCTTGAAATGAGAGTCCTTTCTCATTCGATTATACGAAAAAGATAGCAATCGCTGCACAGGTAGGTTGAGGACAGATGTTTTGATGAAGTTTCAGTTTGAAAGTTACATGATTGATGTTATTTGGGAGGATGATTCGAAATTGATGTAATAAAATTTCATGCAAAACATTGCTAGTTAATGAGATGAAAAACATCACTGAAAATAACATTCATTCTATCTGTTTTCGTCTACTTATTGCTTATTCATACCAGCAATAATCAAATATAATACGTATGCTAGAATGAATTTGTAAAATATATTTACCCCACAGAGGTTTATCATTCATTCGAAAAATAAAATGCTCAAATTTTATAAATATTTTACAACTGCTGAGGAAACATAATTAAGTTGCAGAGGCACAAACAAAAAACTGATATTTAATGATAACAAGCAGAGATGTTTGCCTAAACATACAAATTCATAGGTTGAACTGTTGAAGGTGGTTGTGTGGAAAATAAATGAAGTATTTGCGAAGTATTTGAAAATTGTGAATAAATAGAATGAACGATTGAGTGTTAAAAACACGGCTAAGTAAGAATAAACTAAAATATAAATGCGGATGAATTAAAACAAATACAACCTGATCAAAACCGGATTTTAATGATTAATTAATTGTGATTATATTAGTACAAATTATTTGTTGCTATTCGTTAAACTGAATCCACTATTTATGGCAAACAGCAACTAACTTCTTATGAATAATATTTTTCGAAAAAGTTACTTGCATTCGCGATGGCATTTGAAATCACCATCAAAACACTCCGAAAAAAGTTGCTTACAATAAAGGACGCAATGAATGGAATAGTGAGATAAGGTGTGATATTCGAGTGCATTTATTACAGTTTGAAATACTCACTAATTCAGACGATATTAGAGTGAGTGATCGTAGCAAATGAATCAAAACAGAAAACGAAACTGGTTGACGGAATTGATGAATGGATGGAATGAATTAATGTGAAAGCGGTGTTGTTGACACGCAATTCGATTCCACGAAGGAGCTTGCAATAAAATCGGTTCGAGAGTTTAATTAATTTCCACTGTTGTGAGGCCAACAAAGAAACTTTCAACCTTTGCGTTCAAAAGATGTCTTTTAAATGAAACTTTCAATGAATATATTAAAAGACTGAAACTTTAGAGTTTCAAATGAAAGACTGAGGAAATTCGCGTGACGCAAAAGAAGCACTTTCAAATCGATATCACTGAAAAATTCAGATTTCGCTAAGCGGTGAAACTGATCAATGTGACCGAAATCTTCCAAGAATATACTATGTGACGAAATGATCACAATGAATCAACGAATCAAATAGTTAGTCGTTTCGTTCACTATTTCTTGCAGTAATCTCAAAATATCATCGCTCCCCTTTTGAAGGGAATCAATAACTCAGAAAAACGATGATAATAATAATAACAATAATAATGACAAGTATCTCACACGCAAACNCTCGAATAATTTTGCCCGCAGAAATATTTATTCGATTAAATAATTTTTGTGATGGGAAGAATACAGCGAAGAGGACGGTGATAAGTTAAGAAATGATAAACGATATCTCATTATTTGAATGCATTGAAGAATTGTTCTTAGAGAAGAAGCAGGCAGTGAACGAACCAATCACTTATTCCAACCAGAATGTGCTATTTTCGTATCTGGAAGCAGCAATTCATTTCTTTCGATGCTTTTATATCATTCAGCTTTAAATGATCAAAAATGTCCAGTCTATAATAATGCAAAAAAAACAGTCGACGACTGTCTGAATAGGTGTTGGATTACGGATAAGACAACTGAAATATTTGAAAAATCCTTGAGATGTAAGAGAACAAATATGAAAAAATGACAACATCAAATCCGATGACAATGTCTGAAGAATTTTTGTGGTCGTGAGCAGCAAATTCAAACGTTTGCTTATAAGTGAAATTTCGTTTCATATTTGTAGTGATTGATTGTACTAGATTCGTGTATGAGTAACGAAAGCAATTTCATGATGAAATTACGATGCATTAAGTGCAGATTATAACCCAAAAACGGGATTTATATGTGACAAATCATCGAATCGTCATCGTGATTAGCGAATTCTGAATATATTTGGCGACAACAACAAGAAAAAAGAATACTTGCTGAATATTATTACCATTGTGAAATAGAGGAATGAGAAGAGGTAGCATGTAATGTCATTGTTATGATGAGGGCATCACTCACCTTGCACGTCGAATTTTTACCGATAATTGTGCGTCTTCAGAAAGTTGCTTTTGATTCATCATCAATTCAGTGCTTGAGGAATAACAAGAAACGCAGAAAAACATTCTATTTCATAAGAAGTCAAATAATAACCATACATAATAGTAATAGTAATAACAATAACAGTATTAATGGTAATGCTGATGATGACACTGATGATGACTAATACATTTGCAGTAAGTAATGAACTGAAATGAAATCAACTCAATTTTGAACTCCAAATCAAATTCGGTTTGAAAGAAGTTTCATTTAGTTTTAGATAATGAAACAAATTTTTTTCTTGTTAAATTTGTAATCGTATCCAATAGCGAAATCAAATTTGATTGTTCCACATCATTGCATTCATTGGTTATGTTGAGTTCTTACTTGAACAAGGGTTGTTTGAGTTGTTTATTAAGGAATGTTTTAAATAGAAGTTGATGAAGAGAGAAGACGAACGAGAAAACGAAAATCAAACTGATGAGAGGAGGGTAGTAGTTGAGGCAGATGAATTCAGCGAATACCTTCGTGAATGAACGCACGTTACCTTCATTGAATGAACGCAAATTCGAGCGAGAACATTCATTCGGAAATGTTCGAAAAAGTGATGCGTTCACTATGTTATTATGAACATTCACATTCTTATCTGATGCTCAAACCTCCCTCCTCCTTAAGTGCTGACCTTATAAATTAAACATTTCTAATAGCCATCGTCGATTTCAGTTTCATGTCCGCATATAAAAGTGGCAATCTCGTTCCATGAGTAAAACAATTAGTGGTTATTGCAGAATTGGGAACAGTTAATTCTTCACACCACACAAATTCATGAATATATAGAATTTGTTCATTTTTTCGTTAAAAATTGGCTGAAAATGTTGATTTACAGTAAATGTTTCACATATAGTTTAGACATATCAAAAGTTGAGAGGTGGACATCGAATTTCGTTTACAGATGCTTTCGTACGTTCATTTCAACTCGAATTGATCAACAGATACCGAATTGGTCGGCAAATATTCATTGTAGTTGCAAATATTCGTTTCTACTCGAAAGATCGAGCCTTATTGTCGTTTGCAAAAGTGACACTTTTGGTCGCATTAGTGAGATTATCGATCACAAGAACACCACTAATATTTACAAAAAACAATAATAATAATTGTCTTTGCCAACTTTCGTAAGAATTTTTAAATTTTGGCCAAGCTAGCATTCGATTCTAATTCGACAATTCGTATTCTAAATTTGGCTAATAATAAGCTAGCATTCGCAATATGGGTCATACAAAAGAGCGAATCATTGAAACTACACATGTATATGTTCACATTCATTCAATTGGTATATGGAGTATAGGTGTATAATTAATAATTAATTTAAAAACAAAACATATCAGTCATCCAATCTGGAGATCATAATCTTCGTTTGTGTTATTGCTGCCGACATTAACAACATTTTCTGTAACGTCAGTAACATTCCTGTTCATGTCTAAAACGCTTGTCAACAACACACCAGAATTCACACAAACCACTCAATCCCATAGAGTGTTGGATGTACCTGGCAAAAACACCCCATTAAATGCAAAACGCAGACATTCTCGAAAGCACAGATTTGTTAACAGCTGATCTGAATTAGTGATCGCAATGAACTGGTATCATGTTAACAAAGACGCTTGCAACCACGCTCCAATAATCCGCACCGGTTGATTCGTAGTAATCATCAGTCTAAGCTGAGACCTAAACATGAGGTCTAAGCCGGGGATTAAACCGAATTCTGAGTAAAGCGATGAAAGAATGGGCCGTGGGCGTAATGATCGAAGCTACATCAACGTCAGGCGAAGATAATGTGGCATGCACTGAGTTGAGCGGATGTTTTAAATGTCTGGAATACGTTCAACTATCGTTAACTCTCTTCGTTCGAGGTGATAATATTCCGACGAAGTATCAGATCGCTACTGAAAATGCTATGCAAGTTTTGAAAGTGTTCAAGGATATCGAAAAACGAACTGAACGATATCGATGCTGAAAGAAGCTCACTGATATGCAGTCATCACCACATATACACCGTTTGTCTGCAGTTATTATCCAACGTTAAAGCTCTCGATCCCTTTCCCACTGACTTAATCATCACTTTCATTCATCACCGACATCACACAAAAAATAGCAATTTTCCATTACCATTTTTATTCCACCCTCTCAACATTATTTCAATAGCACCACAGTGCCATTTAACAATTTCATTTGCATGAGACTAAAATTCATTTCAAGCGCACATACGAGTACTTTGAAATGTATCATTATAAATGCATATTTCATTATATATTATGATATCGTATTAATGAAATACTAACGTTTATTATCGTTATCACATTTATTCTAGAGTTCAATCTAGACTTCGATTAAGTTCAATTTCATGTCACAAATCGAAGAGATTTGACCGTCATTCACTATGAATCTACTAAACCAGTAACTGTAGCATTGAATCCATAAGTTGAATAATATGTGAGATATTCCAGGAAGAGATGAAGGGAAGAAACTCATAGACAATTAAAAATTAGTTCCAGTTTTTGGAAATCTATTCAATATGTGATGTTGTTTTTGTGTTTCTGTTTACATTAACGAAAATATCATTTCACAAAAACTTAAACTGAATAATGCGACGAATGAAATAATTTCATTCTTTGAGAATAATTTTTGACTGAGTTAAATCAGAACATTTAATTAATGACGAATTTTTGCAGAAGACTGAGCATCCACAAGTGCTATTTTGATCAAATTAATCATCTCAGTAATTCTCTTCACGCATTAATTCATTCGATCACACAACTCCTCTAGTTATAAAAACAATTCATATTTTTAAACGTACAATACATTTTAATGGCATCACTAGTTTTCGAGAAGATGACAGTCATTTTACTTAGTGTTAGAATCAGCAATTTGCTTTATTCAATGCAATAAATGGACGAATATTAAATCGAGTAATCAACGTATGCTAATGGCAGTCGTAATAATAATGATAACAATATCTCTCCAACTTATAGTGGTCGATCCCGTCGGAAGTGAACTGTTCCAATGGAGAATCAATAACCCTTCGAATAGAAATAGAAACGCGTAGGCAGTTATGATTATATGAATAGATAAATATTATGGCGTGATGACTGTGCTGGATGCCTGATTATGATTATATTGTGCCTGATGCGAGGCTCTCATTCATGCATCTGTATCTGCATCACGATTCTTCTACAATACAATCAATTGGTTGTTTGCATAAGGCTTACATAACCGGATGCTGTTGACGAGTCAGAATAAACATTTCATGAGGTTCATGAGAAGGTACAAAGAAGTGGGCATGAGTGATAAGAAAAACTGAATTTATCATCGAGTATAACCTCGCTAGCAATGAACGATTCAATACGTATGTGCAGACACCCTTTTTTGGTTAAGTTCTCATTTTTAAGCGAATGATGTAAACAACGCATAATTCAAAAGCAACTCGAAACAACAAATAAAATTTATAAAAATACAGAAACATGTGGGACGGGCACGAAGGTTGTGTCAACATTTAATAAAATAACAGGAATTACGTTGATTATGATCAATGATTGAGCTTATTAGCAACAAATTTTCATGCGTATGCTCTTATACTAGTAAATACGAGTTTCGAAAAGAATGATATCAACGCATAGTTATCGTGCAATATCCATGCACCTAAAATTGCTCAAAATATTAAATTATTTTTTGCGGAATAACACAAAAACAAACACTGAATGTGATAATTGCATAGAGTGAACAACATACGTTCATGCCGTTTACAAATTCATACGCACATGTGAAATGTGTAAGGAGTGAGTGAATGTATCCATCCAGTTATCCATCCATCCAACTATGGATATATACATATGTGTAAATGTGCGTTGAGAGTCGAGAATATAAAGAGCACTCGATAATACAGCACTATTCAACACAACCTTTTATCAGTCCACTCAATACTCTTTCGGTTCGTTGATTGTGCCTCTAATATACATTATCGATTTTAAAAAAGCCCGTTACCTCAAAAAGCACACTCATTTACAGCGTAACATATTCCTCCACTTGGCTACCTCCTACTTACTCTAAAACGCTATTAATTCATTGATAAGCATCGAATGTATTATCTATGCAATGGATGGCTCATCCACTTACAATCACTTGCTCAAGTATAATACATTCGGCACTTGTACAGCTCAACGTCAAGTTTTAGCAATAAGAAAATAAGCGTATGAAATTACAGTCAGTACTTTCGCATGATGATAGATTTCAAGTAAGCGATACGAAAATGGAACGCAATTATATGTGACAATTCGATCTGAATGATGCTATTAACTGTAACGCATTATTAGCTATTAAAAATCTCGCAGTGTTAATGACTGGGTACTTCCCAATAACGGATTCACAGTCTCCCCTTTTCACTAGAATAATTTGCTTTAGTAATTCTCGGAAGATTCAATGATACGATTGAGAGGTGGCTGTAGCCTAGCAAAATTCAACGAGTGGTCACAAGAAACACAAATTTATGATCACATTTTGCCCATACATCTATAATCAGCAGGCGATTTCTCCTCGGATGCAAATGAGTAGTTAGTTATGAGATTCTTTAATAGAATTAAGTCGACGGTCATCAATCGAAATTGAAAATGGCAGATCGTCGATAGCCTAGGAAAATCGAATGTCAGTGGCCACCGATTGAAAACCAGAAAGATCTTGTTCGTGGCCACCGAAGGTCCTGACATTCAACGCATGTCTGCTGGTGATCATTGATTAACATGTGCGCATATCTATTGCTGAATGTTCGCATTGCCATGATGATCACGCGACATGGAAGTTTTATTTTCGGAAGTTTCATCTTTGAAAGTTCCACTCCCCGAGGGTTCGTCCATGTATATTTCAGTCCTCCAGGCTTCGCTCTAGTGCAAAAATCTCCCAAAGGCGAAACTTCTGGGGACGAATTGCTGCGGACAAAACTTCCATAAACCGGTGGCCACCGACCGTAACGAAGGCCACTTATCTGCTGATGGCCACTAACCGAAAGTTACCGAGAATCAATTCGGTAACCAAAAGTTACTAAGAATCAACTTTTTTTTGTCGGTGGCCACCGAAAAAGTCTGTTACTTCCTAACTCCACTCCTGAATAGGCACCTGGAGTTGGTAATTGCAAGCATTCGATAAGAGAATGGAACGCAATTATATACGACAGTGCGATCTGAATGATGCTATTAACTGTAACGTATTGTTAGCTGTAAATAGCTTGATCAAGAGGCTCGCAATATCAGAGCACAAAATGATGAACACAGTAAAAACTATAGTATTTCGACGAAACAGTACAGAAGGATTAATTTTCTTTCAAAATCGTCTTCAGCGAAAGTTTGTCCAAATTTTCATGGATACCCTTGAAAAGGACAGACACCGCAGGAGATGAGACTTCAGTCAGAGCCCTGAATGTTCCATAGCACTGAATCTGCCAGGTGAATAAAAATATGATTAAGTGCCAGTCTTTGAACGAGATGCGATCAGCTGTTTCAATCAAAAAACATCTCTTTTGCAGATTCGTTTTGGATGACTATTTCTTATATCAATCATATTAACGTAAATATGTACGATAAGCAAAAAAANAAAAAAACCCAATCTGAAACAATCGAATTCCACTGAAAATGATAGGTTACACAAGGCATGCAGATTGGTTTGAATGGTTAACACGAAACAACATCGATATAAAAGAACAAGCCTCGAGAAAAGAGCCTAAGCCTAGCTCACTTGGATAGCCATAGAAGTAAGTATCTATAGAGACTAGTGTCCGTATCAGACTGACGAGTTGAACATTGATCCAGACATTGAAGTAGTGGTGTAAGCATGTTGGCTGAGACATACGAATTCAGTTGATCATCGAAATCATTCTCGATGCGAGTCAGTGGAATGAAAAGCAGAGTAGAGGAGTGAGTTGCTGGTGTGGTAGTGTTTAGGAATTTAAGTGGAGGGAATGAATATGAGGCTGGATATGCCAAATACGATGCATATGTGTAGCGATTGGATTTTACACAGGATATACGAGGAGAGATATAAGCTCAGCTTGTTGATGCAGCAAAGCAGCAAATGATCGAGTTAGTTTCGTTGATAGTGTTGCTTGTGTTCGCTTTCACTTCATGAAAGCTCAGTGCGCAATTTATAGTTTATAGCAGTAATGATAGCGTGAATAATTCTATGTATGTAATATTGAATGTTAGCGTACGTTTAGTGATGTGGAAGGCGTTTGTAGTGAGAAGTATTTATTCGTGAGAGTGTACATTAAAGGATTATTGAGTGACATTGTGCGTTTCTCGATTCACAATTAAGTGCCAGTCTTTGTTGTACCTGAAGTCATCTGTTGCTTAATCTGCATTGTTGCAACCGCACTTCATGTTCATCTTCTCGCTCCTTTACGAACAAATGCATACACACAGATCTGTTCTAGAATTGACTTCTTTTTTTTCGGACGGACTTCTTTTTTTCTCTCTCTTCCCAGAACGCAAGGTCAGTGTTTTCAAAAAAAAATTCCTTGAGAACTCTATCTCCGTAGTTGCTCAGAGAGGATAGATTTCTCAAGCAAAATTTTGGACTAGAATCACCGCGAACGGGAATTTTCATCTTCGCTAACTCAGTGCTAATGTTCCAAAGCAGTGAAAGTGTAGACCCAATGCTCCACGTAGACTCGCCATTCAAACAATGAATAGTGCTTCTCGGGTTGGACAAGTAAACTTGTGAAGACAATCTTTCAGAACAAATATATCGACATTGTTAAAGTTTATCATTTTTATCGATTGTATAACATGGCAAACTACTCCAGGAAACATGTCTGTTTTCACATAGAATCAGATTTCGCTTCAAATCTTACTATTAGGTTGAAAAGATCAAAACGGCATTTCATTCTTACGCATTCGCAATTGAATGTGGAATATATTAAAGACTGTTCGCAACGGAACGTGCACAAGCTCAACATGTTCGTAAAATGATTTT